GACACAAGTGGACATTTTTGTGTGGACTCATATTCCATATTTGGTAAGTGACCGGAAGTAGAGGTTATTAATAAAGGAAGTGAGTAGGAATAGAGAGAAGAGAGTATCTAGCCCCATCTCTAAACCCAAATACTAACCGTTACAGTTGAGGGTCATGTCTAACCCTAATCAGTCGTAGCAGTGCTTAACCCTAATCAACCGAGTTCAGTGCTTAACCCTAATCAGTAAACATTGCTAGAACTATTTACTTAGAGTGATTGCTGATCCTAACTTAACATTGCCGCTGTCCCTAAATGGTTTTGTAGGTTTCTTGATCTTCCGTCAGTTTCTTTTCTTCATCCAGAATAATGATATCCAAAATGACATACTGCACTTGATCACAGGCAGCATCCACGATTTTCTGGGACTCAGGAGAACCCATCTTAGTTACTTAATATGGAGATCATCTGAGGACGATTTTTCGTTATATATGCTTCATTTCTTGGCTTATTCCGGCTACGTGCGAAAAATTAGATGACAATGTTTGTGTGCCATAATTATACTGATAATTTCTTGCACCTTGAAACTCATGAAAGCCAAACTTGTTTAACCCTAGCAAAAAACTCTTTTAATGGAGGAACTCAACCTGATAGTTGCACTAAAATCTAATAATTGTTACTGCATTTGCATGCTCTCCGTAACCTCGTGGGTAGAACATACCTGATGGTTACATTAATAATAATCACTGCATATTCCTGATGATTAATAATAATCACTGCATTTGCTCTCTGTAACCTCGTGGGTAGAACATACCTGAAGGTTACGTTAATAATAATCATTGCATTTTCTCTTTGTAACCTCGTGGGTAGAACATACCTGATGGTTACATTTAAAATAATAATCACTGCTTTTGCTCTCTGTAACCTCGTGGGTAGAACATACCTGAAGGTTACGTTAATAATAATCATTGCTCTCTCTCTTTGTAACCTCGTGGGTAGAACATACCTGATGGTTACATTAATAATATCACTGCATTTGCTCTCCGTAACCTCGTGGGTAGAATATACCTGACGGTTACATTTAATATAAATCACTGCATTTGCTCTCTGTAACCTCGTGGGTAGAACATACCTGAAGGTTACGTTAATAATAATCATTGCATTTTCCCTTTGTAACCTCGTGGGTAGAATATACCTGACGGTTACATTTAATAATAATCACTGCATTTGCTCTCTGTAACCTCGTGGGTAGAACATACCTGAAGGTTACGTTAATAATAATCATTGAATTTTCTCTTTGTAACCTCGTGGGTAGAACATACCTGATGGTTACATTAAAAATAATCACTGCATTTGCTGTCCGTAACCTCGTGGGTAGAGTATACCTGATGGTTACATTAATAATAATCATTGCATTTTCTCTTTGTAACCTCGTGGGAAAAAAAATCAATAACGTTTAATGGATTTCATTCAAGTGATATTTTTTGACGGAAAGTTTTTTAACACCATTCTTAAGATGTTTTATGAATATTTTGATCACATGTTCACGATAACGTATCCTAGCTTTGAGTATCATTAATTTCTGTCCATAATCTTTCAACTTAGTCTTGACAGGCATAGATTTAGTGGGAGTTGATTGCTTCTCCTCTATGTTATCAATAACTGGTGCGACCATAGTTGATTCTGACATGTTGTCTCTATCACTCCCTAACGTGAAATGATAAGAATCAGTGTGTAGCTATTCACCTTATAGAAATATTACTGCTGAAATGATTGCTTCAAGGGTATAAATACATTATCTTTTGGGAGATGTTATATCAAACGGTGTTGTGTAGATGATACATCATTTTTTAATCTTACACGATGGGGAGAACAACTGAAGTATACAGTGATGTATCTGTAAACGATAAAATGTTTGAGGTTGAGTGTTTGCAAGCGATACAAAAGGATCGCCAATTTTGGTTTGTCGTTAACTCTAAACAGAATCGCGGACCTAAGTCATCGGAAAATGTAATGTAAGAAATGGCTGAAGCTTTCTTCATTGGATTAGATAAAATAATTCAGAGAGAGAAATTACCAACCACTTAAGCGGTTAAAATTGATGTAAATTCTCGAGACCACTTCTGGGTGTTGTAATGTTTACGTCACGTGTGGCATGACACGCGAAGCATGCCGGGGTTGTAGAGAATATAGTGAGTTGCTGAACATGTGCTCGACTGTCGTGTCTTGCCACTTTGTGTAGAATAACAACCCATTACAGGTGTATGGTACATTCTACACAAGAATAGCTCACTTGAAAGAAGAGTTTATGGATAAGATATTGGAAGGATTAAGAGATCAGCTTGGATCAAAAGAGGACTTGAACATGGGTCTACTCATGAAAATTACCTTCTATGAAACTTAAACTTCATCATTGCCTTACATCGGCCTACATGGGGCTTTCATCGGGCTATCATCGGACTTTCATCGAGGTCTTCATCGAGCTTTCATCGGACTTTCATCGGGCTATCATTGGACTGATACTATAAATAGGGGGACAGTTACTTGATTTACATTAAAGCGTTCAAGGGTTCATGAAGTAAACATGCCGAAAAAATTCAGACGAGATTGTCCTATCTGTTACAAACCAGGTTTACTCTACTTGAGTGATCATCTACGACAAGTACATCATCTCACGAGTGAGGAACGAGAACCATGGATTAAAGCGACTGTGTTTTCTCATCAAGTTACTCCTTATATGAGACCAAACATAGTCCTTTCATGGGTACCTCAGGGATTGTCTTACACTATCCCTCACATTTTACCTCATGGAATACCACCACAGCCTCCGAGTATTAAACTTCAACAGCAACCACCACTGAAAGCCAAGACACAAGCAAGTCACTGTTTGGAGACGAAAGCATATTCAGAGTTTCAATTCAATCATATGTTTTCTATGTTAGTCGTGGGTCCAACCCAGTGTGGAAAAACGTATTTTGTGGAACAATTGTGAACAACACCGTGTATACGTTACCCCAGTAAAAAACCAAGACATATCACTTGGTACTATATTCAGTGGCAGAGACGTTATGAGCAGTTACAGTCGAGTCTTGGAAACGACATTACCTTTGTGCAAGGTTTGCCTGAGTTGAGTGACGACTTACATGAAATCAATCCGCAAGTTTCATTATATCTTAGTCTTTGATGATTTGATGTCACAAGCCACTGAAAGTCCAGTGCTTTTCCTGTTGCTTACACAAGGCCGTCATCGAAATGCGAGTGTCATCCTTCTGTTACAGAATATGTTTCCCCAAGGGAAATTTCACACGGACATTAGCAGAAATGCCCATGAAATTAAATACATGGTTCTTTTCCGAAGTCCTAGCAACAGAAAGCAAATAGGCATCATCGCGGAACGGATGTTCGATAAAAATCTTACAACATTCATGTCAGCTTATACAAAAGAAACCGAAAAGCCTTATGGGTATCTTTTGGTGGATAATCTGCCAAAGACCACGAGTGATAAACAAGTCGTCACAGATATTTTTGGTGAATGTCGTTGTTACCCTAACATTATCACTCAAGAAAAGACAGTCACACCACTCAAAACAGATCCATCTAAGGTGAAAGACTCAGTGTTGCCCATACCCAAGGGAAAGACTGAAGGATTGAAGGAATCACTCAAAGCAACTAAACCAGTCATTCAACCAACAACTCTAAACAACGTCTCGAAGAAGAGCATCTTTCAGTGAGCAGTAAAAAACAGAGACTTAGTGCGAAACACTGACCAAAGAGGACTAAGAATCAGACGGCTAGAGGAAAACGAGGAACAAAACCAGGCAAAGCAACGAAATCTGTTATTAAACAGGGAAAGAGCAAAGCCGATCCTGCCATGGAGTCAGTCAAATGGGAGCAATTTGCTTTACAGCAAAAGAAAAGAAAATTGTAAAAAATTGATTGGAAAAATAAAAAACTTGTATTTACTGAGTAGTGTATTATCTGAGTGTAAAAAACGAGAAAGTAACCTTAATTTCTAACCCTAACCTCTAACCCTAGCCCTAACTTCTAACCCTAACATTAAATGTTGATGTATAACCCTAACCCTAACCTCTAATTTATATTTTAACAGTAAGTGTTGATGTCTAGCCTTAAGTCGTAGCCCCAACCCTTAATCCTAACCCTAACTCATAAATATGGGCGAACGAATGACGTCATGGAATGTTGAAAATTTATTTTGAGCGATGACGTCATAGAACAATGACTGTCTGGGCAATGACGTCACTTAGGCAAGTCAGGGCAATGACGTCACGAGGGAGTCATAACGACTATCAAGTAATGGATTGTCAAAGGTAAGAAGTCTCGGTGGTACAATGGATAAGTATCTCTGCCTGTCACGCAAAAGATCTGGGTTCGATTCCCAGCCAAGAAGTTATTCTTGACGTTGATAATCTCATCAATGTCGAGAGTACTACCTTATTTTTACTTAATCAATCGGTCGGGAAATCGGTAGTCTAGTGGGTAGGGTCACACTACTGAGAGTAAGGGCGCCACTTTTTGGCTGATCCAAAGGATGAGATCTCGACGCCTGCTCATGCGTCTTTAACAGATTTTCTCTTATTTTTAATTACTGGGAAAAAATACTGTAGGAGAGTGAATGACACTCTAGAGGTAACGTGAAAGTTCAATCATTGACTCAAAACACTATAGAGGAAATATTTTTTTGTACGAAATAAACCACAGACGTTTTTGGTTATAGAGTGACTAAAATCACCATAACGGACCATAAAGGAAACACCTTTCGTAAAACCTAAGTTGTAACGGGAATGCGACTGCGAAGCAATGACTGAGGTAAAGTACACCCAAATACGATGGCCCAAATGAATTGACTGCGAACCACTGACAGAGTTAAACTAACTGCGAAGCACTGGTCGCTTGAAATCATCACAAAAATCCCACGGGAATACCACTGCTCCTAGACTATTCCATTCAAGTTTGCACGAGAGAGGGTGACAGCAGATTAAAATGGCAAATGATGCTCCATACTCTCTGTTGCGTGCGTGCTGTCAATGAAGAGTACGGAGAGTTTTGGTGTGTTTTGTTTATGTGCATGCGACAGTAAAGCAGACAAATAAAAGTCGAGGATAAAACCTTTATTAAAATACGTGTCAAAGGACTGAAAAAAATAACGACGATAAATTTCCTCTGGCGTTCAACTTGAAAACTTTTCTCATACTCTAACACAGTTTCACTGACTGGAGCTGACAGCTTTTCAGGGTCCTTTATTTTGTTCCTGTTGAAAATAACAAGAGCGTATGTCTCTCAAAACGTACTCAATGACTTTTAGTGCTGTAGATAACAGTTACAAATCTGTAGCTTGTATAGAAAAAAAGTCTCGTTCGGCGGCCTATTGACCTAGAGCAAACCTAAAGGTGCTTTGTAACGCGCAATTCATTATAATACCTTTACTGAGCAGGGACTATCTGCTCTGAGAGCTTTGAAAACGTTTGGCGTGGAAAAACGTAAATAGCTTTGGTGGGATAAGGAGAAAAAAAGACAGACGCCCTGTGATTTTTTCGTAAATCAAACATGCATGCTGCTATTATCGTACTACTGACTTCTTTTCTTACCTGGAAAAGGTTACGCTGGAGGGTGATATCTTCAGATCCGAATCGAAACACGTAGATGAACCTGAATAACCAAAAATAATGATTTTAAGACAAAAGTTGCTGTAGACAGGGGACGTACTTCATAGTCTTTGTATGACATGGCCCATAAGTGTTTAGTCTTAACATCTGGTAAATAAAAGAGATTTATAAAATTACCTGGAGTAAGATGTTTCTGGATTCTGGTAGGCAGTTTACGAGCCTGCTCAAGCTCACTGAACACCATATATGAAGAGTGAATTTCCACGATCATCCCCAAAGCCCAGACCGTTGCCTGGCAGCCATCATACCATTCATCCGCGTCTGTTAAAACACCTAAAACCATTCAATCAAAAAAGGATTCTTTATTAAAACAGCTTTTCTTTCAAGATTCGCCAAGGACGCTGACACCAAAGTTAAACTTAACTAATTGTTCTCTTCTTTTGTCTTTTTAAGAACCCAAGTGGCTGTGGACACTAGACAGTGTCATAGCATGACATCGCTCATAGGTTTTTAGTCCTTGCGATTGGTAAATAAAATAGATTATGAAATTACCTGGAGAAAGATATTCCGGGATTCTGTTTGGCCGTTTATGGACCTGCTCTGGCTCACTAAACGCCTCATAAGGAGAAAGCTTTTCCACTAGGATCATCTCCAAAGCCCATACAGTGGTCTGGCAGCCATCATACCGGCTAAAATCTGTCGGCGCAGTCATATAAGCTCTGGTACATGGAATGCCTAAAATTATTGGATAAATACGCCACTTATATAAGAAAAACTTGATTTTCTCATTCTAGTGTAACGAATAGTCATTTCACTTTTTTCCCTGAACTACAAAATGTCAACTCATTATTACCAATGCTCAGTTCGAAAAACTTATTGACTCGACATTGGGTTAATGACGTTTATGGACGCCATCCCATGAATTCAGGAGACGGTTTATTCCTTTGTTATACGGTGTTGTTTCGGGAAGAGCTACTTTTTTGTTGGGCGAGGCAAGCGACACCGAACGACTGGCGTTTGCTTCCCTTGATTGAAGGAAGGCATGTTGTTAAGAGTGTTCAGGAGATAAGCAACCAGAAGACTCTTAGAAAGTTGATGTGAAGCTTGCTTGCGGCAAGCTGTTTTCCACGCTTTTCGAATCCGGTTTAGAACGAAACGAAAATAAAAACCACTTACCATACAAACAATCCTCAGCGATCAATTCTGCTAGGTCAGTTTCCTCCTCTTTAGTAAGAGCCAGTGAGCTCAAACAGTTGTCCTTGCTAAAGATCAGAAAACAAATCGTATTTTATTAATGGTAAGCAACATGTATCTAAAGGCAACATTTGAAAAAATAGATAGCCGTCTTGACTAAATCTAATAAAATGGCTCAAATGATGCGGCAGGCTTAAAAGAGCGCACGGCGAATGACTATTGTACTCTCAGTGTCAGTGCATGTGTTCTCCTTGCGCATGGCTGGTTGAGGACCCATGTTTGATCTTTCCTGTTAGATCGAGGCACTTAGTCAGTATTAGTCTGCGAACGTTTTTCGGATACAGTCACTAAGTTCATGATGAATGTGTTCAGCATAAAACTTACTCAGACAAATTGGAGGAAGAGCATTCTACGGGACCTACAAGAAAAGAACAGACTTTTCATAATGAGTTTAAATCTCAACAAAAAAATGAAATCATAACATGTTATTCGACATTACAACGTACGCAAAGCATTTTGAAAACTTTGGAAACAATTTGGCGGATCGCTGGGACCCTGTCCTTTTTGTTTTTATATTCATGCTCTCCACAAAAACGACAAAAATATTCCTTATTTTATTGATATACAAAATATACCTATTATAACCATTATTAACAAAGCTCACTTCAAATCTGTTAATAGACTACACTGCGCAGCCATAGTTAGTAGAGGAGACTAGTTAAGAAAGCCGGCAAACAAAAACAAATGGAAACAACGGTGCCGTAGTTTTATGTTGGAAGCTTCCTGACCGTACATAATCCTTTGTTTCTTGTTCACAAATTGTGGCTGAATAAATTAATGCAATGTTTCTATTGGTCAGTAAGTTCAAAATGATAGGAATGCTGTTGAAAGTTGTGCACGGTTAAGTCCAAAAAAGCTAACAAAAACATATGACAAAGGAGCCTAGGGGGTTTCCCAACTATTCCATTTTAATTAACAATGGTGCATAGAATTACGATAGTGTGATGATGAATTGCATTTTTATCAGTCATATCAGTACCTGAATCCTGGCAGTTCGGTGACCGTTCCGCTGCGTGATGATGCTGAACTTTGTCCTGCAGGAAGACGCCAGCTGAAATTTGGAAACGAGATTGATGTACTATGACTTTGAGATGTTCCAGATGGATAAAAGTTCAGGTTTATGCGGAGATTGCGCTCTAAGTCCACTTGTCTATTTTTTCATATTATATTCCTGTCGTAAGTATTCCATACCACACGACTGAGCCAAGCGCGAAACGGGTCGAATTTTTTTTTCGGGGGTGCAATAAATTTCTTATTTATAGGCTGACTGTTGCGGAGATAATGCAGTATCTAAAGTATCTATTACCTGGTGAAAGAAGTTGCGGAGGGATTCTTGCGGACCGTTCATGAACCAGCTTGGGCTTACGAAATGTCATATATGGAGACGCCATGTCCAATACGATCATTACCAAAGCCAAAACAGTGGCCTGATAGCCACAATACCAAATCATACACAACACAGTCAAGGGTTGAAAAATGTTGCAATCAGTTCCTTGAATATCCTCTTTCATGGGAGTTAACTTGCTTGTGTTTTGTATATCCACAAACGAGTGAGACTCTACTTCAAAGGATGTAATAACCGCCAATGAATTTGACGACTTAAAAGAGTGGCTTTCAATAGAATCTCTGAAAACAACAAAGACATACCTTTCTCGTAAAAAGTACATTTTCTTTCGTTTTTTATTTTGCTTTAAATCCTTTCTTATTACTTTATTCAATGGTTAATTTAAATGTAGTTATTCATTGATTTACTTATTAAAACTGATTTCTATATTTGCTGGACGGAAGTCTAATCGATGAAACAGCCTTTTCAGTCTGCCAGATTCCGCCTTTCCTAAACAGGCCAATGGCTCAGCGCTCGGCTAAGATGGTCGGGTGTCAAGAGAAACGCTGACGTGGGGGTGGGGACACGGGTTCGTTTTCATTTTCGTTTATTGGTTGGGGAAACAGCAGGAAATGAAACAAAAGAACAATGAAATCAGACTCCAAGCCGGCATTTTTCTTAGATTCAGATTAGGACTGAGGCTGTGACATAGAAAGACATCAATATGATCATGTTTAAAGCTTCAGTTCAGATAGTCAGTCCATTTGCTTGCTAAAAACTACAAGAACACACGTTTTCTTGTTTTCAAGAACTATTTTAAATTGGTGCTCGATTTATTAATTACGGAGAAGCGATTATCTCTCTTTGCACTGACCTTGAAGAGCTGGTACTAAAGGATGTGGTGCTGTCGGTCGAACTAGAACCTGACACAGATGAACCTGAATAACAACAAAGAAAGGTTTGGGCGGAAAAACTACAAGCTGTATTACCTTTATTTGGTTGAGAAATTGTTTGAAAACGGCAGCAGATTAACTGATAAGATCATAGTTGTTGGGAAATTTCTCTCTGATACGTTCTCTGATCATGACAGCTTGAAGATCGGTGATGTCATCAACGTCAACGTTCGCACATATCGAGTAAAAGTTTCAGTATACTTGACTTCAACGACTGTAAGTCATTACTGATAGAATAACCTTATGATTACCTGATTATCAAATTGACATTCTTATACAGTTCCATGCTCACAAATGAGAATCAATAGAAATGACATGACAAAAAGTTTTCTGTTCAAGTTGAAGTTTTTTGAAGGAGACCTCGCTCATGCAGGCAGAGGGCTTTCAAACTTAGTTTGAGTGAATGTTTATGGGAGCAGCCCAGCATTTTTTATTTTTCGTCTAGAATTTCATGATCTTGAGATTAGAACGGAATAAGGAAATGAAAAGCACTTACTGTGCAAACAATGTTTGGCAATCAATTCAACTCGGTCGTTTTCATCCTGTTTTGTCAGAGAATAACTCCGCAGGCCGCAGAAAGTCACTGAAGAAAGTTCACTTCCTTCATCACAGTATTTGTCCTTGCTAAAATTCAGAAAACAAATCATATTTGTAATTAGTGGAAAGCGATATGCATTCTGATCACGACAACTGCTTCTTAGTAAGAAAATCAGAAGCGACATAAATGGGTTCAACTGATGGATTGGGCTTGTAAAAATAAAGGAGGATTCATGGCAGATAACCAGTCATCCCAGCCTGCTTGTGCTGCTCGCAGTAGCTAGAGAATTCTTTGTGAAGACAAAAGAGTTTTTCTTGAGATCCAGTTACCAAATAAGGACACGATATGTGTTTAACATGCAAACTTACGCAAAGAAGTTTGAAGAAAAGTTTTCCGGTGAACCTAAAAGATACAAGAGCCTTGTTAAAAGTTTAAATCTTTACAAAGACGATCAAAAGTCCAGCGAGAATGCCTATTCTTTAAAGGAATTTTGTAGGAACTCCAAACAATGCTTTGTGCGGGCTTCACGCTCGTAGAGACCGTAGAGAGAGTCAAAAATTATAAAGGCACCGCCTTGGGCAAAGGAGACAAAGTTGTTACAATCATGCAAGTCAAAAGCAGTATACATTTCAAGCTTAGTATTGTGTACCTACCTTGCATGGTAAACCAAGGATGGTTCAAAATTTGTCGCAGTGTTGGTCGATTCATCGGTACAACATTCAGCAATGAACTGATCAAGTTCTTGGCCTCTGTTGAAATGAAAGTAATTAATAAAGATTGCGGTGTAACAAAAAGCCGTTAAAATATACCAAATGTAGCAGAACGCCTCAGTCTAGGTTTCTAAATATGCAGTATGATTACAAACTGATTGCAGTACTGATTACAGACGTGAACGTTTACGTTGAGACTATTTGTGTCGATTTTGAATTTGGGGTGGATCACTTTATCAAGGCTAAGGGGTTCGGCTTCGGCAAATAATTGAACTGCTCGCCACTGACTAATCACGATATTTTGCTCAACCTTGTCGTCCAATAATTGTTTTATCATTCGATCACAGCTTTTTTTTAATGAATATCTTCGGGAAGCGAAGCGATCTGCCATTTTCATGCAAGAGCTATCGCAAGAAGGAGAAAAGTGTAGTTTCATTTGCGCATGAGCAGAATGCTATTTGCAGCCCTAGCCAAACCAAGATGGACGACAGTGCGCACGAGCAGACCATTATTTGAAGGCAGTTATTTGGGCTCTCGGCCAATGAAAAGCAAGAAAAATTTGCAGCGAATGATAACAAGTCTTATTTGCAGGCCAGATATTTTTTGAGTAACAAACTCGATTCCCTTGTTTTTCCTTTCTATTCCTGAAGTATAGTTCTATCACTTATAAACGAAATTTGTCATGGACAGCGTATTACGTTATTATTGGCCCTAGAATATTGTTCCTGAAGCGTGGTAAATAAAATGTATTTATTGACATTACCTGGTGATAGGTGATGTGGGATTCTGGCTGGCCTGTTATAGGCCTGTTCGGGCTTACTGAACGCCATATATGGAGATAGCATGTCTACTAAGATCATTCCCAAAGCCCAGACAGTAGCCTGGCAGCCATCATACCATCCAAATCTAAAATATTCCGGCGCCATATAAACCCTGGTACCTGAAACATTTAAAACAGTAACCATTGAAGTCAAAAAATGGTTTGAACAACAGGTTTTTTAAAAAAGAGCTAGAATTAAAAGCACGTTACTTCTTTTTCACTGACACATACTAAAAAGACAAACAAACAAACAAATTGACTAAGTAACTAACACATAACGTACCTCTAAACACACTGTAAGGTTCATATTGTATCTCAGACGCCAGACCAAAGTCGATTAGTTTGACTTCATCGGAATCCAAATCAACCAGGATATTTTCTGGTTTAAGATCACGGTGAATAAATCCATTTTCTTCGCATTTGATGTTGGCTTCAATGATCTGTTTGAAATACCGCCGAGCTTCTTTCTCGGTCATTGTTTTATCAAATAAGAGGCTGCCCAAATCCTGACAGTTTCCTGGCCTTTCCATGACGTAAGCGTAATAGTTGCCCGTTGTGAAAAAATCGTAAATCTTAATCACGTGACGATGTTGAACCTTGATCATCCAATAAACCTCAGATGGAATTTTCTTACCATTCACCTTTAAGGAATAATAAGAATAGGACGACTCTAAACACTTATTACACTATCGTTATTTTGTATGAGTTCATGAGTAATATTATACAACTATCCCCAAAGGGGAGGTGAATAGTGGTGAAATATACCGAGACGAGAAGAGTCGAGGTATATATCTAGCGCTGTTCACCGACCCTGAGGGGCCTAGTTGTTTTAGTATTTACGAAATCAGTTGGATAAAAATGAAAGAAGTAACTTTTGGTACTTAGTAGAACTTTATTTACAATTTAGGAAAATTTCCGGGATTTTGTCAAGGGCATTTTTCCGATTTTGTTACAAATTCAGTAGGAAGATAATTTTCTACCTACCAGAAAGCACCAACAAGCCAAAGCTAGTCACTTTGTTAGTATTTGTTTGTACGACTGCTTCATTTATCGCTTAGACCCGGTTCAGACGCCGAACGTTTCATGAGCTGAACCTACTGATTCGAATTGAGGCCGATCCAAATTATTTAGACCGGCTGAATTGATTCAGACGCCGATCTTAATTGCAGCTAAACTATGTTGAAAAGGTGGAAAATGCTCATTTCGGTCAAACTGCTTACAAAATACGTTATAATAACTCATGCATTAGGTTCGGTACATAAAAACGGTTCGGCGTCTGAATCAAAGCGGTTCCAAATTCGCTCCAAAGGCGAAATTCCCGGCGGGCTAGGCGAAAAGAACGGCTGAGCCGTTCCCAATTGAAACAGGCATTCCTAATTGATTTGGACGGCGAACTGTTCGTGAACTTAATTAAATGTATTAGGTTCGGTTCATGAAACGTTCGGCGTCTGAACCGGGCCCTAAATTTCGTGTTCCGAAAATGTCTCGAAGCGAGACGCCATCTTGGCTCCTGTTGCAAAACAGTGAATAGCCAAGGATATTCTGTGTTACGGGAGCCAATCAAAACGCGCGAAAAGTACCATTCACTGCTTTGGTAAATACTAAAATGTTCTATTCTTGCTATAAAATACACGAACATGATCAAGAGAGAATAAAGGGACAGACAGGGAAACGCCCAGTCTAGCCGGCCCTGGGATATGTGAACTTCACACGCTGAGTTATTTTTAGTCAAATTAAAGGTTTGAAATTAATCGGAAGTTTGATTCTGGTAGGGTCCGCAAACCTTTTTTCAGTGTTGTTCAAAAAAGAGAATTACTTCGAAGCAGTCACGTGTGGACTTGATGACTCTTCAATCAATCGATTAAAATGTGCCGACGTCCCAGAAATTTGACTTCCGTTTAATTACAACTTCTAAAAATAACTTTAGCAAAATTCACATATTCCGGCCAACACCCTACCTTCCTTCCTCGCCCGTTCCATTATTCTCTCTTGGCATGATTTAATCCGGCCTGCAAAGTGATACTAACACACGAATGAGAGAAATGATATATTCGTCAGACTTTAATTTGTTGATTTGGACTAACCTCTTTAAGGTCCTTTACGGAGCGTTTATCGACAAATTTAATGGCCACCTGAAATTCAACAAAGACGAGTCAGATATCAGTATTTTTTGATAGTAAATCCACGCAGTATCTGCACACCATTTTATTGATATCCTTTGTTATAAGCTTTGAATTTAAGGTAGGATCCTCCAGGAAAATAAAATCCATTCTATATCTATCTAATATCTTTAAAATGGGATGCCAAAGTCAGAGAATTACATGCACAGTTGTTCTAATGACGTAAACAAATAGATGTTACAAGAGTTGCTGTTGTATAACTGAAAAGATAAAAGAAAGTGCAATTCAACGTACACAAAAATATATTACTTAGTAGGTTTATTGAAATTTGGTTTATTTTACACTTCTTTTATTTAATTTATCAGTGATCTTGTCACATATCTCATCCTACTATTTTTATCCATTTCTTACCGGCATGTTATCAGCCTTTCGTGTTGCAGCAATGACTCGGCCAAATCCACCTTCACCGAGCTCATATTCCATATGGTACTGATCAAGATTATCTGCAGATGCCAAAAATTAGATACAAGAATCCCCAGCTAAGTACAGGCGTAAACTTACATACTAGAGGGTCAAATGGGACAAACGTTCCCCTTATAGGTGATAGTAATTTATGAGTGATACGTGCTGGTTTCATTATTGTTTTCATTTTGTAGTATACGTTGGCAGGGATTCAGAATGGGGCCGTAATCAGAAAGTCCGGTATTCGAGTATAGTTCCCATATCAATTCTTCTGACACCCTTGCAAATAATAACATAATTAGCTCAAATTCTGCCAGTTTCGTTACCAACCATTACGTTTTAAAAAAGTCGCTCTAAGAAGCGATGTAGCGAATAAATAATAAATGAATAAATATCCTTTTTTAAAGTCTTTCTTCGAATCAATGAGATTCTTGCCTACTAAAGATGCCTCCAGGCCTCTCGCAATTTTATGATACAGGCTGTCTGAGAAAACAGCGTTATATTACGGTGAGTTGATCAGACCACCGGAAAGGTCTGAGGCCTAACGCCTGTAAATGTAGTCTTTTCCATCACGACCCACTTCCATTTTTTACTTACCTTCCAAGTTGATGTTGTTTATAATTTCCGGTTTGATCTCTTCTTGTTCTTGGATGGAAGAATTCGACAAATTCGACGCCGATATCGGGAAAAGGTCAGCTTGGTCCTTGCTGCTTTTGTTAATCCTGTTCATTCCCTAATAAGACGGGGAAAAAATAAACCAGTAAACACGTTTTCTTTGAATATCAGTCCGCTAACTGCAGACAAGGGCCTGGGGAGGACATGATTGATTGACATGTCTGAGTGACATGTCAAGTGTTAATATCAAGGGTCATGTGTTGGTCCGCCATTTTTTAAAATGCGGCTAAAGTTCTTGTTTTAATTTTTTTCGAGTTGAAAACAGAAAAAGAGCGGCTATCTTTTGGACATATCTTTCCACATCCTGACTGAAAAAATGGACCACAAAAGACTAGCCGAAACTTGGTAAGTTTTTCGGTTGTTTTAAAAATCCTTTTCTTGACTTACGTTCACGAAATCTCAGCCCTGATTAAACGGTATTTTCAACGAACTTTAATATGATTCCATCCTTGTAATCCTGAAAGTAACTTTGCTCCAAACTTTTGTTTTAATCAATTTTTAAACAGTAAATATTAATGCCATTTGTTGGTACTGATCTGAAAAATATGATATTCAACTGAAAAATTCTGTTCAAATTATCTTCTCTTCTTCACTTCACCGCTTAAGCTTATGGAACGTGACGTATTGTAAATAGTAAACGTACTATATTGCCATTTTAGAATTGAGTTTACATGTATATATATTTTTGTCTGCTACCCAGCTTACCTTTTTGCAGTTGAGCGCTTGACTCTTTCCCTTCCTCGAGTCCTCAACTTCTCTCAAGTAGTTAGTGATTTTCGCTTTCACTAAATGGAAGCTATTGTTTGGTCGATCCTCTCTGCTCATATTATTTTCATCCAACATTGTTAATATTTTGAAAAGTTAACTTGATACGTTTTGAACAAAACTTCCACACTACATAAAACGGCAAGTCTTTTAATTTTGCAACTATCGGTTTCCATGGCAAACAATTGGTTTCTATGGCGAATTGTGACGATATTTTCTATTCTGTTGCTCGCGCTTGTTTGAAGTAATAAAAGCAATAACTTACCTCAAAAGAAAGCAAAAATGAGTGCGACTTTTCCTCTTTTCTAGTTTTAAAGAATATATCTTTTGAGTCTTAAAAATATTCAGTACAACGCCAATAAAAAAGCGTGCAAAAAATACTAGTTAACACTCAGTATTTTTGTCGTAATGTCCATTTAATGTGGACTGAGAACCTACAATAGCAACAGAACAAAAATTTATGCAAGATTTGAGGATGCAGAATGAAAATGTTTTTTTGTTCGTGTGTGTGTAGATTTTGAGATGTTCCTCGTTTTCTTTTTATGAGAATAGTTTTAGCGCCCAGCGTTTAGCAATTTTTCCAACAATCCGCAAAAATCAGTGTTGCCGCAAATAAAAATTACCGCAACCATTTTTCTCTCAAAAATTTACTTCGGAGTAAACATACATTCTCTAACTTAAGTTCGCCACACATAAAATACAGTGCTAAGAAATCGTGTCTGTTCAATTACAACTTGCCTCTCTCATTCAGAACAAAACCGTATAGATTGAATTACTGGTTTTACATATGGTATACATACCTTAGTACTATTTCTATTGCACGTACTTCACAAAAACGAAAATATTAACAATGCTGGGTACCGAGTACTTTCTGAATATCGGAAAATTAATTCCCAGCGAGCAAAAACCACTGTCCTAATTGCAAAAATTAGTTCCCGTAAAACACAAAAAATCGCCAATCCGCTAAAATATTGTACCACACGGTAACTGAAGCCTGGCCTTTTTCTTAAACACTGGATTGGGCGTCATTGTTCTGTAATTGCCGATGCACTCAGGGACCCTTTTCATGGATTCTGTTATTTTTCGATTTGTTTATCATTCATAGACATTTAGTACCTTATTACTTTTTTTATAAGGTGCGCATTCCAGGTTTGCTATGTTGATTCCCATGATTTCATTCTGGAGATGTATTTCCAGGCTTTAGAGGCCAAATATCGCTTTATTGCTTCACTCAGCAGGTAGTTATAGCTAGTGACCGTTAATATCACATGGTGACAATATATACTGCGTTAGCAAATCATCGTCTCTTCACGGGGACTAGCAAGCATGATAACATGATGAGATAACGCGTAATGAGGCAGTTACACTGTTTGCCGGTGGCCGAGAGAAAAATCTTACTTCTAACCTTCAAATCACTACACGGTATGGCATGTGAATATTTTTGGGAACTGTTATCTGTTTACAATCCTGGAAGAACATTGCGCTCCTCGGGTAAATCTCTCCTTGTAACACAAAAATATAACCTTAAATCATACGGGCAAAGGGCCTTTTCTTGTGTGGCTCCTGAACTGTGGAACAGTCTTCCGGACGATATAAGATCTTGCAATTCACTGACTCGTATTTAAATCTAAGGTTCGCATTGAAGACATTTCTTTTTACGCGTTATTTTATTTGATGTAGTTTGAATGATAGTTTTTAAATATTTTAATTGTAAATATTTGTAAAGTGCTGTTGAATTCCTAGAAACAGCACAGCTTGTTATTATCATTATTATTATTATAATTATTACAAAGGGCTATACATGGCAATATATGGCAAAACATGGCAGTACATGGTAATAAATGCCAATATAAGCTAATATTTGGCAAAACATATTAATTCAATGGTAACGCGGTAAAACATAGCAATACATAGTAATACATGGTTATACACGGCATTACAAGGTTATCAAGGGCTATACATGGCAAAACATGGTAATACATGGTAATACATGTTAATACATGATAATAAAGGGCAATACATGTTAATGCATGTCGATATATGAAAATACATGGTAATACATGTAAATGCATGGCCATACATGGCAATACATGCTAATCTATGGCAATACATGTTAATACATGGCCATACATAGCCATACATGGTAATTAAAACATGGCAATTCATGACATTACACGGTTATACAGGGCTATACATGGCAATATAATGGTTCTATATGGCAATACATCGGTATACATGGCAATACATGGTAATGCATGGCGGTACATGGCTATACATAGCAATACTTGGGTATACATGGCAAAACATGCAATACTGGAAATACATGTTAATCTATGGCAATGCATGTTAATACATGGCAATACATGGTAATACATGGCTATACATGTTAATTCATGATTAAACATGGACATACATGGCCATATATGGCAATACATGGTAATACGTGGCATTACATGGTATTACATGGCAATACATATTGCTGCATGGTAATGTATGAAAATGCAATGCGCTTATTCTTTTACACAATTATGATACACTTTAATAACCCTACTCAAAGTACCTTCCCATCAAACAGCCTGCCAGCGGGCTCATTTGTTCTGGTTTGAGGAAAACTTTGGCTGCGGTGCAACAAATTTTCCTCGCAAATTTGTCGGAATTCGCGGAGTCCTGCATAAAATAGCAAAGAGCGGTGGAATCTTGGGTTGGCTTCATGATCCGCACCCGACGCAATTTCAGACAACCTTTTAAATCTCGCCTCGAGAGGAACAATTTCAGTTCCTGTTTGTTTATCCAGTGATTCACCAACAGAGTAAAAAGCTTTCAGTAGCTAGTGAGTCGCATTAGACTTCCGGCCTTCACCAAAGCTAATCAGAAACATGTGGGACTATGAAATTGGTCAGTTATCCACACAACACCTCAGTCTGAACTTTTTTTTAACAACAACCGAAAACAGGGAAAGGGAACTGTTTCAAAAAAAAGAATAAGCTGCAGCTCCCTAACCAATGATGTTAATGACACATTTAAGCCAAACATGACTGGTGTAGCTTGTTTTAATTAGGTCACAGACTGGACTTACATGCACCTTTTATTAATGAGCATATGTAGCATGTACATCGAGTTGGTGTTTGTCACATAAATGAGCATAAATTTGTTACCCTTCAGCATTGTCTGACTTTTATAATATTATGAATGCCTTAGCTATAGTAGTATCTTTATAATTTTGATCACAAAGGCATAAAAAATAGAAGAATGAAAACTTCAAAGTGACTGTCAATAATTGATGTAAGCCTGGGTGACTTGGTTACAAAATCGTCAGTAATTTCGTTTCAGTTCTCTTTCAAAGCTATTTCTAACAGAGTAAAACAATTAAGGAGCATGAAAAAACCTTATATCAATTCTATTAGTTGTAAATTTTTAAACCTAAGAATAAACAGTTCCAAAAAGTGGTTACATGTATATATGTATTATGCACTACAGTATATAGTAACAGGTTTTTTACAAATAGCGTTAGAGACCTTAAGATCCGAAGACGACAACGGCGGCGGATGCGTCGCTTAAAATATGACATCGCTTTCTTTCAATCTTCATCGTAATTTTTCCAACTCACCTACTTTGTCAAATGTGGGCAAACTCTCCTGGAGCTGAATTGCTAAGAACAATATCCAAGTTTACCAAGAGGGAGATAATTTCGTCGTCGCCTGTTCACGTCTTCCATAAAACGTGAAAACAGGCATTTTTACGTAGTAGTCGTAAAGTGACGACAAAGAAATGTACAAAAAAGCGTGATATACGTAAGTGTAAAGTTGTTGTTTTGCTCATTGAACGTACTGAATTTTCGACATTCTCTTAGGTGTCGCTGTCGTCAAATCTTTTTAAGGTCCCTATATTATATATGAGAACTGAGTGTAGTTTTGTTGGAATCAAAGAAAGAGACCTTCACATACGAGTACAATGACTACAGTGAAGACAATTTCCTAATTCAAATATTTCACTTATTCCTCCTCATCCATCTGGGCCCAGTTGTCAGGGTTTTTAAGTATCTTTTCTTCAAAGGAATTAATTTTTCTCTGTTACTTTTAAGGTGGCTGAACCCAGTTTTGGCAGTTTGTGAGTATACCGTAAAATTCCGAAAATATGCCCCTCCATGTATAAGCCCCCCAAACCGGTAACGCAAAAACCCTCCGTTAAATCGCCCCTCCAAATATTAGCCCCCCGAGGGGATGTACTTGGAAAATTGCCCTCAAATACAAAGCAAAACAAAGCAAAAACGGTAAATTTACTTCCAACTATGAGGCTAGCCCAATCGAGTTTGAAACGCAAATATCCCTCCGTAGATATAAGCCCCTCAAAAAGGGCCCTTTAATAATTTAAGTCCCGGGGCTTATTTTCGGAATTTTACGGTATGTAATTTGCCAAATCATGGCACGAGGAAGGTTGCAGCTCACAAGCTGAAACTCGGCAAGTGAAAAATATACTGATGACAGATTTGATTGACCGGCAAAATTGGGTGTCTTCGCAGTTTCCATTGCAACATGAACGATTGAACACAACACATAAAATTCACTCATTAGATTTTCCCATAAACTTGCACACAGCTTACTACAATTAATAATTACCCTTTGAAACTTTAAAGTTCTTATTATCTAAAATACGATAAAACCAAAAATTCAGCCAAATATCACAAAATTTTAATGAGTAGATTTTGAGAAATCGTCTGCTGTGTACCACTGCTTTTTCGCCGCCGTGTTTGTTTGTCTTATTTAAAACATGCGCCGTCAAGCGAGTTATCGATGACCGGCCGCAAAACTGTGTTCAGCCACTTCAACAAATCATTTTAGAGGATACAAAGACTGTAGATCCTGGACAAGACTGTGCTCAAAGAAAAACTGAAAGGGCCAATGCTCTGAACCTGTGAAATCCAGGGTGCCCAGAATATGATTTCTATGGGAAAAAGTAAGATTTTCTAGTCGCCCGGGTACAAAAGTTAGGCGCTTGTTATGCTTATGCTAGAGCACAATCTTGCTGGGTTATTTTGAAATTCCTTTGAACAACTGGGGATGAAAAGATATTTTGACTGCACTAGCTCTCCCAACCACTGCTAAGAACTTTGAGCAAGATAGTAAACTGACTGTGTAAGGAAATACCAAATACAGTGTACAATAATATTTCTAATTATTTTAACAAATGCATCTGTAGTCTTAACCAATAAGTTAAAAATGCATAAATATGTAGTTTTGTACAAATAAAATATTAAGAAATAACCATCTAGTTATTTGCCATCGTCTTCTTCATGATCTTGCTTAAACCGTTTCACACACAGTGCTTTACAATTAACTTGGTCATTATTCCTGTCTTCCACCTGGTCTTTTGTTTCTGTACTGTTCATATCTTTGCATGGAGTAGTCCACCATGGTTTTCCAGTAAAAGAAGGAATGGACAATCCTAGGCCATCCATGAGTGCTTTCATAACTTTGTCTACATAATGGTTGATAATCAAGGTGGCTTTCTTATCCTGAAGTTCAAACATACAGCTGTAAGATGAAGTCTATAAAATGGTTACATATTTAAAGTTTGCAGTGCTAGTTTACAATATTAAAGACAAAAGTGATCTGGAGAAGGTACTGTTGACAGTTGTATAGTCAGCAAATGCTCCTATTAGACACCTTGAGAAACAGCATTAAAATTGTACACCCAAGGTTCCACTTTACAGGAATACTGGACAAAGATCTTATGAGTCCATCTGAGTTACAGTGTAAATGTAAAGTATAACAGATAGTTACCCAATTTGCAACTGTAAATTATCACCAGGAGTTTCTTTATCATAGCGGGAGGACAGTTTCCTGTCCATAATGACACCAAACCCTGAGAAAGAACCTCTCCTGGCTTTCATTTTTATTCCCTACAAGGACATGTAACTTTTTATTTATTTACATGTATTTACAAAAAATAATATTACAAATAGGTGTTCTTTTAACTGTTCAATTTATTTTAACATTTAAATATTCCATGTAACTTTTACAGAATGGAAAAAGTCTGCAAGATATTGAAATCATTGGTATGCAGTCAACAATGTCCTGTGGACAGTGAAACCCATATTAGGTGGACCACAATTAGCGCACTGGGACTTTTGGACACCTTTGCCAAAAAGTCCCTGTCTTTTTTATTTTCTGTAAAAAAAAGCTGTATTTAAAGGACACCTCCATAAAGTGAACACTGGGGAGGTCCCTGGACAACTGTGCAAGCCAGAAGTCTGGGGATTTCCTTTGGAAATATGACTAATAAAATATTAATACCCAATAAGCACTAATCACCTGTCTTGTTTTCTGAAGATTAACAATTACTAGTTTTCCACCATTTTTGACAGTGAGAACTGGCAAATTTCCACTCGGCTGGATTTGAAGTGAAGTTCCAAGGCACACTGCTAAGTCAGCTTGCCTAGAATGGAGGATTTGGAAAAAACAGTTAGCAAACAGCAACAATGCTATACCATACACAGATTCAGACACCACTCTTTGTAATTGTCCTTTCTAAAGGTCTTGGTGGGTTGGAGAGGAGAGGGTGAGGTGGGATGAAACAGTGCTCTTTAATTTTAATAAAGCAGGACTTAATATTGCACAGTCTCGCTCTTCATGGAGATCACAGAGGAAAAGTCACACTCAGTTCCAGCTTGTTGGAGAAGACTTGAAAGACACATATTTCATTCCAAGACGAATCCACTTTGTTGCTCAAAAGGATGCTAACTTACATGTAACTTTATCCTGATGATAATGATAGTGCATCCTGACCTACCTTGAGTGGTGTTCTGCCAAGACCAAATCTTGATAAGGTAAAGAATCTTCCCAGTCTAGGATGGTATCTTGCAGTTTACCACTAGAATATCACAAACAATCACCATAAACATAAACAGCATCGTGCTGGGCTGGTAAACAATTTTCACTCCCAAAGCCAGTTATGAAAAAAAAATTATTAATGTGTTACGACTTTTATGTCCGTGGACAAAATCCTATAATGTGACCATTCAAATGAAACATGGTAATTAAGGTTTTGTTTTTCTAAATAATTATTTTGCCACATTAAATTTGGAAAGATTCTTCACTTTTGACTTTAGTCGCTTTAGGGGGAAAAAGGGTAAACAAATTGAGGAAAACAACAACATGCTAGCAATACAGTTTTGTACCTATTATTGTTTTTTATTTTGTAAACTACATGTATTGTCTGCGCCCTTATTATCAAAGCAAAGAGGACATACCGGCAATGTCCTCTAACACGTTTCTTTTCACATACTCCTCCCGTTTTTTTCAGTCCAACAGTTGTCATTGCATGTTGTCTGACATACTCTGTTCCACATCTGTCACACTTCTCCACAAACATGTTACCATGGAGTTCAGAAAGCTTCGACCTTCCAGGAAAAATGTAAAGAACATGCAGTCATGATGAAGAGAGCATGATTAAGGGCCGTGCACCAGGCAAATTGACCAGCTGTGAACATGACTTTGCCTGGCTGCTTAACATCTCAAAGAACTTTTTTTTAATACAAGAAATGATCAAAAACAGTTGTAAGTTACAATTGTGTCCTTTTCTACATGTTGATGAGCCTTCTTAAACTTAAAAGTAACATAATTTACCGTCAAATTTCCTCTTTATCACAAGCGGTATGAAAACCCCCCGTTATTGAAAATCAAGAATTGCCGCAAAACGCATTGCAAAAAGAGCTGCGCTCCATAAAAGACCATCTGAAATGTTTAAGTGTTACAAGTACATGTCTGAGCCATGGTGGCCTAGAAATGAACGCGTTTGATTGCCGAGTATTTTTTGTCTCCACCCAAATTGCCTCCAGCAAAGAAAAGCCCAAGAGGTGAGTAGACTTCTTTGTGATTTAACCTTTTAAGTAGTTACAGTTAAGTTTAAAATTGTTCTTGTTTGGTGTGACAATATGTCAATAAGATTATGAAATATTAAAAAAGACCCTGTTTGTGTGGTGGATATTGGTGTCAAATCATGTTTAAAGTGTCTGGAAAGGTTATCTTTTTTGGAGTTGAAAGACAGTGTCTGCAGCTTCAGAATGTAGGAAAATACATCTCTGCAACTATAGAATTTCAAGATTTTCCAGGGGAGCATGCCCCAACCAATTCTTTGCCTCGGCGTCAAAACCAGTTGCCCTACTGTTCAAAACCTTAATGAAACCCCTGTGTAATAGCCCTGCCACATTTGTCAAACACAAGTGTTTTACCATCCTCTTCTTCCAGCTGTCCTGTCGCGTATTAACCTCACTACTATCTTTGCAACACAGAATTTAGGAAATTTCTCTGGATAGGGAAGGCCTCCAGTTCATTCCTGTGGGCCTTGTCAATACCCCTTTAGGGTAAGCCCATTTCCCACTCCATACAATCCAAACTTAAAATTAATTATTGGCATCTACATGACTGCCTCAGCAATAGTCCTCTTACAGGACATCTGTATGTTTTGTTTTCCCAATACATACTCTAGAGAACTGTTTTTTTAAAAATGTTGTCTTATTCAAGTGCATATGTATGCATAATTTATGAAAAGACAAAGGGTCAAGTTCCCCTGGGACCTCTTTTGGGAAAACAAAACAAACATTCTAAAGAGGTCTATAGTTTACCCTTGAGGGGAAGGTATAATTTATGACATAAAATATAGTCAAAAAATAATTGTTTGCAATACCTTTGAAGCCCTGATTTCAAATGCAAGCCATCAACATTTTGACTAATAATATACTTGACAAAATTTTCTTGTACAAGCTTGAGCAAAGCCATGTGTGTGAGGGATGGCTTGGCCTCATCAAATGTAGTGTCCATCTGAGGAGCTAATCCTTTTTCTTCCAAAGTCCAAACACCTTTTGGTCCCCTGAAATCAGGAATACCAGCTGCAGTGCTAACACCCGCACCTGTGTGAATCACAATGTATTTCGATTCACGAAAAAGCTGTATCAAATCTGCCATTTTTACATCCAGCTGCTCAGGAGAGTCAAAAACCTACAGATTGAAAAAACAATAAAAAGCAAAAAAAGCAACTTTATTATATTTCAAAAACCTTGTTGGGGACTGATTGTTTATTACAATCGGGGGTGGGAGTTGTTTGGGTTTTCAGAAAAGTGTGGTGTATAAAAACTTTACCCAAGGCTGCTGCCTAAGAAAATTTTTTGGGAGCCCGGAGCCTGAGCAGCATTTCTAGGAGCCCTATTAGAAAAGATCAGCAACTTTATTAACGCTTTAATGATGGCTGGCAAGTAGCAAAAAAACTGCATTTTTTTACAAATTCCTCTTCTTTGGACTAGTTTTCTGCTAATTAGCATAAGAAAGGCTAAAAGCAAGTTTTGCAAGAAAAAGGCATATTTTTCAACTAATCTGATGTAATTAACCACTCAGCCTTTTTGTTTTTCACACATGCACAAAAGCCAAAGTTTGGACCCTTTTTTTGCGAATGTATTTATCTATTTATCTATTCTTTCTCTCTTGCTCTCTTTTTTCCCTTTGCCTTTCTTGTTTATTAGCAGTTTTGTTGCCCACTTTATCATCCTTCTTTTGCATGGAATTGTGGCTGGCTAACTTCTTAGGAGAGGGGCAAATTGAATCTTTAAAGAGTAGTATGTAGACAGCGAAATTAGCAGTGGATTTTTCCCCAAAATGATACCTTTTTTGGTGAGTGTAACTATGACAGGATTGGTCAGAATATCTAAAAAGAGGTATTGCTGGAAAGATCTTTCCTTGAAGAAGTTGTTGTTTATCAATTTATACCCTACGAGCAGAGGCCCTTCGATCTTGCTAGATAAGAGACAAAACCGGAACAATAATTGAGCCTCGAACGAATCGAGTTTCGAAACGGGAAAACCAAGTCTCGAGTTTCGAGAAACCAGATTTTTTTACAGTCACCACTTGAAAGGATATCGAGAAATGATTTATTTCTCGAGAAACATAACAATGACCATTCACACGTACAGCGAATGCACCCACTAACTACACTTGTGTCTACAATTTAAGTGAAGTTAAGTTTAAGTTTTTAGGTGATAAAAAAGGACAAAAAGGATTTTGTCTTGAAGTTTGGAAAATTGACTCAGCATTTTGGTATCAAGTCTATCTTTTGAACTATCACAACTGTTTTTAAATTTGTGAAGGTTTGTATCTACATGCATCTCACGTGACGGTGTAAATTAAAAAGAGATTCAAATATGATCTTGAATAGCCCCTGTGAATAATTTTCAACGACTGGAATGTTTTTGCGAGCCTTTCAAAAGTTCCCACAAACAGACGGCAAAAAGTAGGGAGGCGTAGATAACGCTGAATAAATGGTAAAAGAAACCTCTGAGTGTACTGTTCTTGGTCATAGCAAGATAGCAAACGCTACAAACTTGCAAAAGTTAATGGCATACCGATGTCACGAGTAATATGAAACCTGACTTTTCATCAGTTTTTACTTCATGCAGTAGCAACCAAATGTTTCTAATACTGAAGGAAAGGTCATGATTTTAATATCGAAGGTTTTTCAAAGACTGTTAAATTCATTCGATGGCATTTTCAGATGAGAAACTTCGACTGTTCTGCAGCGGAACTCACAGAAGTGAATTTCAAGACTTTGTGCTGTTTGTTTAGCTTTTATCAGTGGAGATATTTTTTTGCCTATAGCCGATGATCAAACGTTTTTCGTTGTCGTTTCAAAAGTTCAGAATGAGCAGGGAATTTTGTAGTTTGTTCACTGGAAGTTAGCCTTAGAATCATAAGTGTGTTATCATGCCAGTGAACCCATAGAAAGTGTGGTCTATTGCTTTTATAAAATAACTTCAAGTTTTTTATGAGTTTACCGGCACAATAAACCATAGGTTTTTAACCAATCAGAACGCGCGTACTATCTCAGTTATTTTATAAAATGCAATCAACATCAATTACATCCTTGAGCTTGTGTATGTGCAGAATTGCAAGGGGGCTCAGTCTCTCGTCTGTCATGGTCCTTCGTAAAGGAGTTTGCAGATTGTCTCTTCATACCACTGAAGCTACACTCAGCTGTGCATGTTAACAAGGATAAGTCAACAAAGTTATGTGAGCTACATTATACTCTGGGATAGAATTGTCGTTGGCTTGGTCAAAAGTCTCCACCAAGGTCTGTGGCTTCACACTTGGATCCACTTCACTCTACTTACAATGTAATCAGTAAAAGGATAAAGGAAATCCTAACACAAAAACACCATTACAAAGTGAAATATTCATCCTGATTTAATGATAAAAATGCTCTCAGGAAATTAAACAAAATTTATATATTTTTCCAGATTTCAGCTGTATGCATAGGCGTATGTGCATACATGCAAGCTAAATTCCTGGTAGTAGAAATAGCTGATAAGTTACTGGGCCAAGCTTTATATGGGTAACATTTCAATTCCCCTCACATTTTGTGCATTTTCAAAATTGACCCCCCAAAATCAAGCCTCTTAGAAAATTGTACCCCCCCCTCCAACCCCTCCACTCCGCCCATGGGACATAATAAACGATCAGTCCCTTACAAAACTAATGAAAACACAACTCGCATGTGGCAAAGGCTATTTGAGGCGGGTTGTGAAAAAAAAAAAATTCGGTAGATTCGTAAAATAAAATGTTAAGAAAAAAAAAGTGTCATAAGACAAGGGAAGATTAATTAGGTAAGACAATAGAGCACAATCAATTACATGAAAAAGGATAAAAATTAAGTATATGTATGCATGCTAGCTTTACAAGCAAAATGATTAACACTAAGAGAAAGTCAGTTGTTGTAGAATGTTGAGCGGTCCAAGAAATTCGTCTTGGTCCTTTAGGATCTGCTTTAGAGTCTCATGCAATCATTTTTTGAAATTGCCGTATTTAAGCTGTTTATAATGTGTTGGTTTTGCATTCTACAGTGTGGCTCCAAATTTTGAAAAGGAAGACTTTTGTATTTCTAATCTTGAGTGTTTAACGTAGAAATTACCGACTGCAGCTTACCTAGTCCTATACTCGTGAGTGTATATCTGATATTTCGTCAGACAAAGCACATTCAATTAAACAAAATCATTGTTATTAAACATCATTGTTAAACGATTCTTACCTCAGGTAATCCGCACTTCCCTTTATGTGGATAATCAGACAGACCGGCAGCGTAGTTCACCGACATTTTGAAACGAAATCAGCTGTCAACTCGAACAACAACGAAAGCTTAGAAGAATCCGCTATCGTGCTTTGTCTTTAATGCCGTCAAGGTTCGAATACCCGAGGTTCAATCTCTCCCTTGTATTACTGACTTTTATATCGCTTAGACCTACAAACTAGCCTCTGAATTCCTGTAAAGTGTTCCTACGACGCTGATCTTTCCAATGATTCTTGAACTGTCGGCCATTTTGCTTCTAAATCTCGGATGGACTGGACAAATGGACTGGAACCTAGCAGCCCTTATTTCTGTATTTGGTGAACATGGCCTTATTAGGCGTTATTAGGCAAGTTTCTTTCCCCGACAACATGGCGGACGCTGTTGATGTAAAGGTTTCTTTAGTTTCGGAAAGTACAAAAGTAAGGTAAGAAACGGGTGTTACTAAAACGAAGACCCAAAAACGAAGACCTAAGACCTAAGACCCCTTGGACTAAAACGAAGACCCTATGGACTAAAACGAAGACCCTATGGACTAAAACGAAGACCCCATGGACTAAAACGAAGACCCCATGGACTAAAACGAAGACCCCTTGGACTAAAACGAAGACCCCATGGACTAAAACGAAGACCCCTTGGACTAAAACGAAGACCCCATGGACTAAAACGAAGATCCCTTGGACTAAAACGAAGACCCCTTGGACTAAAACGAAGACCCCATGGACTAAAACGAAGACCCCTTGGACTAAAACGAAGACCTCATGGACTAAAACGACTGATGCTAACCGCTAAGGGCAATGCCTGCTCCCGTAATTTGTTACGGCGATTTGGGAATGTTATGGAATTTCCTCTGCAGTATTTTGTTGTGATAGCCATTCACTTACCTTTCTTTCAGGTTTCTTTGCGGAAAATATTTTGCATGTTTTAAACCACAGGCAGACCACCCTCTGTTAGTGGGAGCCGTTGTTGATTGAAATCTGAGCAACGATTTTTTGTTATTTATAGAAGAATTACATATGAACAATACGGTGATTATAATTTGTTCCAAAATGCAGAATTTAAAGCAAATTTTTCAATAAAAGTTTGAAGAAAATGTTAACTGAGTCATGTGTCATGTTCTAACCGCCTAGGTCAAATACTCATCTCGCAAAATAGCGCTTAAAACAGCACGGGATGGCGAAAAAAGACATGACACATGACTAAGTTAACATTTTCTTCAAACTTTTATTGAAAAATTTGCTTTAAATTCTGCATTTTGGAACAAATTATAATCACCGTATTGTTCATATGTATTTCTTCTATAAATAACAAAAGGTCGTTGCTCAGATTTCAATCAACAACGGCTCCCACTAACAGACGGTGGTCTGCCTGTGTTTAAACCTCTTTGGAAGTGTTTATGGTGAAGATAACGTCAGTTTTATTTAAATCAAAGCTTTTAGCAGGGTTAAGCCCAGAGAGCCCTCGTGGCCTAGTGGTAAATCCGTAATATTGGAACAAAGGTCCTAGGTACGAGTCTCGTCTGATATGCGTTTTTTTTTCCCTTGTCTTTTTCCTTCTTTTTCTTTTATTACTATTTATTTTTTATCACAGTTATCATAAAAACAACTGTTTAAGCCGTAAAGATTAGTCATTTTTTAACAATAGAGGACAGAATATCATAACAGCATATAAATATAAATAAAACATATAAATAAAAATAAAAAACAAATAAAACAAATAAAACACCCGGCATAAAGACAAATGAACCATGCTTCAATGAAACCTCGAAATGTTAACCTGTACTCGAGTAATGTTCTCGATCGAAGGCTGTTTTCCCCCTGTTGATGAGGTAAAAAGTAATAAATAGAGCGCGAGGTTCCTCTGTCCTTGAATTCGTCAATGAGAAATGTCTCCTTGTTTTTCCCTCCCCGCACTACATGTTGTTACTGTTTTGTTTTTTAAATGCACTGATACAATTCTTCGACATTTTAGAAAGCTGGAGCACGCGGTTATATTTTCTTAACTCATTACACCCGGGATGACACCCAAATCATCTGACATTGAATTTTGAACCATAAAATATCAGAAAGGCAATGGACCCCCTCCTCCCTCAAACCCCAACTACGCGCCCAAAACACATTTGGCGGAAGTCTTCAAGACAAATCCTGTCATGAGCCTTTTTGATTGTCAGGCCTCCCATGAACACGCTGATGACCTTTGGGCTTGTCACGCCAATCCTCTTCACCGAGGGCGCATTATAACCACACGAACGGCACTAGAGGGCTCTCTCGCCTTCACCCTGCAAAAAGCTTTGATTTAAATAAAACTAACGTCATCTTCACCGTAAACACTTCGAAAGAGGTTTAAAACATGCAAAATATTTTCCGTAAAGAAACCTGAAGGAAAGGTAAGTGATAGACTTGGCTATCACAACTACATACTGCAGAGGAAATTCCACAACATTCCCAAATCGCCGTAACAAATTACGGGAGCAGGCATTGCCCTTAGCGGTTAGTCGTTTTAGTCCATGAGGTCTTCGTTTTAGTCCATAGGGTCTTCGTTTTAGTCCATGAGGTCTTCGTTTTAGTCCATAGGGTCTTCGTTTTAGTCCATGGGGTCTTCGTTTTAGTCCATGGGGTCTTCGTTTTAGTCCAAGGGGTCTTCGTTTTAGTCCATGGGGTCTTCGTTTTAGTCCATGGGGTCTTCGTTTTAGTCCATGGGGTCTTCGTTTTAGTCCATGGGGTCTTCGTTTTAGTCCATGGGGTCTTCGTTTTAGTCCATAGGGTCTTCGTTTTAGTCCATGGGGTCTTTGTTTTAGTCCATAGGGTCTTCGTTTTAGTCCATGGGGTCTTCGTTTTAGTCCAAGGGGTCTTCGTTTTAGTCCATAGGGTCTTCGTTTTAGTCCAAGGGGTCTTAGGTCTTAGGTCTTTGTTTTTGGGTCTTTGTTTTAGTAACACCCGGTAAGAGACGAAACAGAGCTAATAAACTGATAGCCAGTAGGCATTACTTTGCTTCATTTCGGTGGTGTAATTCGTGAAAACTGACCTAAATATCTGCTGAAAATATGGACTGAAAGTAAAAAAATGTCTTGGAAGGTTACTATGAGAAAAGGGTATTTGGAGTACCACCTAGTCTCTTTTTAAAGCCAGTTTCAAACGTCGAACGACAAATGTGCCGAATCTAATGCAAATGAGTAAGAACAATAGATTTTCTCGTAGTTACTAAAACAACGAATGACCTACAATGACCTACAATGACCTACAATGACCGAACGAGGGGACCTGAAAATACGCTTAAGATCCCTGTAATAAGCTAAAATGAAGATTTTAGAAAAAGACAAAAAAAATAGATCAGGGGACGCGTGCATAAACATAATGCGTTTAGTCTACTGCATGACAGCCCAAATGATGACAGCATCTCTAATTCCGGGGGGGGGGGTACTTTAGGAATTTCCGGGTGGGGATGTGCCGCTGGGACCCTGGAACCCTTAACCTATACTAGAGCTGGTTCAGCTGAATTTTGCTACCCTATACTAGAGTAAATCCAAATCCCCCCTATCCTAGAGTAGCTGTTTCCCTAATCTAGATAAAATCTTCACCCAACTGATTAGTTTCCTGAAAAATGATACCTATTCTAGAGCCAAACGCTCTGATTTATATACCCTATCCTAGAGTAAACTGCTTGAAAACCATACCCTTCACAGCAGCACATACCTATATAGCCCATATGTGGCAGTGCCCCCCCCCCCGCCGGCTCTAATTATTACACTTGGAGATAAATCTACAGTGTAATAATACATGTATGATGATAATGAATAAAAAAATCGCAAAAAAACCTTTGGATTATTTTCCCGTGTTACAAACTAATCCAACAAATTTGCTAGACAACAGGGTGTTACGAAAACTAAGACCCTCGAAAACTAAGACCTAAGACCTAAGACCCGTCTTAGTTTTTGAAATTACGAAAACTAAGACCCCCTAAAATCGAATCCGTCGAAATATAAAGTCAAATTGTAACCGAAATAGGTCTGATCTGTCAAATTATATATGTTCGATCCTTTCCACCGAGTTTTAGGTCAAATTTAACGGTAAATTTAGGGGTCTTAGTTTTCGTAATTTCGAAAACTAAGGCCCCTCTTAGTTTTCGTAATTACGAAAACTAAGACCCCCACGAAAACAATCTCTAAAATTTCTACAAAGTCGAATTACGACCTAAGACTAAGACGGGTCTTAGGTCTTAGGTCTTAGTTTTCGAGGGTCTTAGTTTTCGTAACACCCCTAGACAACAAGCAAGTTTTGATTTGAGTCATTTTGAAATTATTTTGTGTTTTTTGTCCACTTTATCAAGTGCACATCACAAAACTGGTTCCAGTCATCACGTGAGATAAAAATGCACCTGCGCCTGCGTGAATCCAGTGTATTGTCAAAGCACTGTGACTTTTGTCCAAACCATCCCTTGCAACCTTTCCTGTTAGTTGTGTTTTGTGTTGTCTTTTTTTCAAACAAATTAAACAAACACAGTCACCCCAACAGTCGATCCCAGGGGATCTTCAGGGGACGTCTGGGTATAGATGAACAAACGAGGCCTTCAAATTCTGACCCTGTTTAAAAGAAAAATTGTTTATTTAAGTACCCTGGCCTGTATAAGACATCATAAAACCCTTTAAGTGGCTTCTGGTCCAACAAGATGCTCTGTTTGTAACGCTAAATAGTAAAATCCATATCCTGCTCAGCGGCCCATACTAAGGGAGTGCCTGCATGACTTCCGTCAATACAGGGTATAATAGTGTTAACGGTAAAAACGTGATTGCAATAATTTTTTTTTCAAGTTTCTCAAGTTACCTGAGATCAAGCTTTATTTTTGTTTTGCCTTTTCAAAATGTGCTTGGCAATTAATAATTAATTGCCATTTTAATACCATGAGCCTAGTGTCACATCCAAGTGTGACACACGACAAACATCATTGTCTGTCATTTTGTAGCTCATTGTAGTGGGCTTATTTTAACTCATTTTAGCTCGTAGCAGCTCATAGTAGCTCATTGTAAATCATTGTAGATCATTGTAGGTCATTGTAGGTCATTGTAGATCATTGTAGGTCATTGTAGGTCATTGTAGTTCATTCCCTGTTTTAGTAACTACGTAGATTTTCTTCGTCTTCATCAAATTCAGCACATTTGAAATTCGACTTTCTAAT